GGATTCGAGTCGACATTTAAAATAGAACGTACGAGGCATCTGTTTCTTGGGTTGGGGTCCGCTGGACCCCGTGTGACCATTACGCTATTTTTTGGAGGTGTGACCATTACGGGTTAATTTTTGCGCGGCAAGGCCACTACTTCTAGTCCTACTACTTCGCCAAGTTTTAAATTTATATCTCAACTTTTAGAATTTTGGTCACAAAATAGGGTCAAATTTCCCATAGTGCACCGTAACCTAACCTAACCTAGCTTTATTCAGTACTATACATTATTTATAAAAGGCAACTATGTATGTATCAGTAATGTTACGAATGTAGTTACTCAAATTCAATCCACTTTAACGCGTCTTTTGGCCGATCAAATTTTTCTTAATGGACTGTAGAAGCGTTCCCGAAATGATTTATCGGCTATTTCGGATGGAGTAAACAAAAATAAAAATGTATTTGACTGAGCTGATTAAATGTGTCGTTGACCGTCAATTACATCAAGCGGCAAATGAGATAAAATTGTAAATTTATTGCAATTTTTGACTAAAAACTCTTTCCACCTGAAATTCTCCGCCTCCATGATTTTGACCCTCAAACACATCATTAAATCTTAAATTATAATCATTATTTTAATAAATTTGAATTATTTTTCCCTTCTACTTCGGTGAACCGTGCGAATTAATTATTAAAGAAGTTTCAAATAAAAACGGCAAATTTTGTTTACTTTTGAATATGGTTTCGGCGAGTGCGCTATAAAGACAGAGGTATAAACTCTTGAAAGAAATATGTGTTGAGTCAAATCGGTTTTTTTTTGTTAATGCGGTTCTTGCGTAGGCATAAACAAGGTATGTATGTATCAAATTTAAACGATTTAAGTTAAGGCAAACTAATGCAACTCATTTTGAATACTATGGGGCTAGTGTGGGCTGCCAGAATCCTGATTTTCCCGGATTTGTCCTTATTTAGACACATTGTCCTGGTTTCCTAGGCCCCACTTAAATTGTCCTGGTTTTTAATGAAGGTCAATGCAGACACTCCTTTAATTTTTAGCAGATAGAAAAAAGGTTAAGCTTTCTGTCAAATTGATAACGAAACGTTTTTTCTACCATGTTGAATATCTGGTGCGTGTACCTTCTTTCTGTTCAGTTTATTTGGTTTAAATCTAAATTTTTTCAGGCAAATGCCAAAAAGTGCAAGTTCCTGATCAAGTACACGGCTGAGGGGTCATACATAAGTACTACCCATAAAGTAATTTCAGGAGCTAAAATCTAAACTAAAAGGACTTTCTTTCTTTCTCCTTTATTTTTTGTATGGAGAGAGCTCTGCTTTCGCTACTCAAAAAAGAGTAGGTTCAGACAGAGAAACTTTTGTCGCGGAAACCACGGTTGCCATTTCCAATTTATTTTTCGGACCAAAAAATGGACCAAATGGTAAAAATTTACCAATTTTTATTACATCGGGAAATTGGGTGGAGTATATTCCTCTTTATCAAGAAAATATTCCAATTCAGTTTTTATAACGATTTTTTTTATATTGCATCCAAAGTGCATTACAATTTTATGTTATTAACATTATATTATTTAAAGTTTTAAATTATGTATAATTTCCTTCTAAATTTCGTTTTTATTAATGCTAAATCAAAAAATTTGCGCTCAGCTGCTGCGGAACTGTGAGGCAGAGTAAAAATGTTATGAACTAAATCACACAATTCTCCAAAGGCCGTTTCACCCAATCCATTTTTAATCAAACTTACTTGATCCCAAAAACGTTCTATATTGGTACAGTTTTTGAAGTTACCTTCACACAGCCTGAATTTGCGAAATTGAAATTCAATTATGTCTGCATTATTTACCAACGCAGGAAATTGGTCGAGTAGCGGCAAAATTGATACATCGATGTCAGAAAGAACTTTATGTGGTGTAATAATTTCAAGATGTTTAATATCTCTTCGATTAAAATCGAATATTATTTCCATGTAGGTGTTTCCATACAGCCGTACGCGACATTCGTACGCTTATAGAGTAGCGTAAATCTATCAAAAATAGAAGTTACTGAAAAAAAGATTACGGTTATGTTGCAACCAAAGGGCCCTATGTTTGAGAAAAAATAAGCAGCCTCGAAACTTTGGGGTGGAAAATATCCGTTCAAAACAAGGTGATAACGTACGCGACAAAAAAAGATGTGGTTTTAAGGCACATATATATATATGTGAAAGTCTGCGAATCATGGGAGTTTTTCTTTTCTTTAAAAATTCCTAAACTAAGCTAAATAATGTACCTTTATAATCCTTTCATATTTTAAGAGAAATTATCTCTGGCTATTTTTATATTAAAAAAAAAAACTATAACGTACGCGACATAACGTACGCGATAATTTTTCTCGTAAGTAATAAAATGTGTTTATTGAGAAATTTAATTTAATTTTTTTCGCAATTTTTGCTGCCGAATTCGATCTTTTTTTCTTTTTTCCTGAAGTAATAAGGCGTCTTCTTTTGCCGCATCTGCCTTCCTTTTTCGTTAGGCCCGCTGTCTTTCAGCCTCCTTTTTTTGGTGTTTCTTTAGCTTTGCTTCATTTTCTTTTAACTCTTCTCGCCACCGTTTCCTTGTTTTACAACTATTCTAAATAATTTAAATGGAAAATTTGCAATTAACATTGGTTTTGATGTATTTGATTGAAATTTTCGTACTTACAATAACGTATGCGACAAACTTTAAAGGGTAATCAATATACAAATGACATAGACAAACAATGTTTTTGCATAACGTACGCGACATTGGAATACTATCAGAAGTAAAACAAAAAATTACCGTTATTCGAGCTCTAACTTCTCCTTTTTCTCATTTTTATAGTTAGTTGTTATTGCAAATTTGATTTTAAGATGTAATTGTAATGTTTCAAATCTCTTAATTTATTTAATAGGAAAGAGAAAATAGTTTATTTCATTAGAGAAAACTGAGTCGAAGAGACATTCAGTTTTACTCCTCCATTTTTGAGTTTTAAAATTCCAATAAGCTGAAATACTTCTATAATATAAAAATTCGAGTATTTTTCTCTTATTAATTCGTCTTAAAAACCCTTTTCAGTTGTTTTTATTTTTTCAGTCCTGGTTGACATTTTCATGGAAACACCCATGTGCTAAATGCTATGATTAAAGTTTTGCTACCTTTCCATATTTTTGCCAGCCACTTTAATATTGGTCACGGAGTAATTGAAATTAGCAAGAAATCGCTATATTTTTTGAAGCGTGCTTTGCAGATGATTAGCCATGCCATATTTGAAGGTCAGTGGCAAGGCGAGTTCACACTTTTTACAGGTGTTGCCAATCTGTTTCAGCGCATCAGTAACATGGCTGACGATGGCCGTATCGTCACTTTTACTGACGATGAAGATATTCAAAATGGGGCGGAATATTCATCAATTAAATACAAAAAATTGAAAACGCGAAACTATTGCATGAAGTGAAAGGGTGATTTGGCAGCACGGCCGCAGGCAACACTGTCAAGTACTCGTTATTTATGTAATTTCCTTTGTGAACCTTTTTTGTCATACAACTTGTAAATCGTGGTCGTTTCGTTCAATCGCTGCAAATAAGCCGGACGAGTCGCAACCGCGGTAAGAAGCCGTATTTCTAAACTTTAAAATCTTGGCACATGTGCATATATGTACATATATGTACATCTATCTTCTTTTATATTGTAATTCTGTTACTTGTTTTTAGAAATAAACACGCGCTAACTACAGGAACCATAAACGAAACTGTGTTATTCAATTTCGAGTCATCGTCCGAGCCTTCAGCGTTTACAACTTTATTTCGCGGTGCAAATAATTACCGAAGCACCGCTGCCGGCATTGTTTTTGTCAACCGTTTTGTGCCGTCGTAATTATCTGTGTGTTGTTGCTATCGTAGCGGCCTGCAATAGTTGAATTTTTCCACTCGCTACGTTAGCGAAATAAAATGCCACTTGGAAACTTGCAACGTACGCCAGTAAAGAGGAAAAGTCCACGTTTCCAAGATGAACAGCAGCTAGAAGGAGCAAATTCTGTGGAGATTGCGTCGAATGCAGACGCTGATGTAAGTATTAACCTTACCAGTCAACCACAGCAGGACATGCCGGGTCCGAGTGCAGAAACAGCAGTTAGCGTTTCAGAAAGCCAACCGCTACAACAAGAGGGTATAGCTAGCAACGCTTGCCATATCGAGACACAGAAAAACCTAATATCTGTGCTCCAGAAGCAAATTTCGGTGCTGGAGAGCGAACTAAAAAAGATGCAAGGTAAGGTTAAGGAGAATGAGGCGCAAAACTGCCAAATAAAACTAGCGTTACAAAGTCACATGATGCAAGTGCTGTTCCGTTTGTCAACGTTGGCTTCGCTGCCGCGCCTCATCACGCCATGCCAAGCGTTGCTCCTGCCGCGACCGCAAACTGTGCTGCCGCCGCGCCTGCCGCCGGCGCTTCGTTCGCCGTCAACGCTGCTACATTTGAGGCGTCGCCATATGCTACCGCAAACTCCGGCGCTTTGCTAGCCGCCAACGTTACTTCATTCGCAGCACCGTCTTTTGCCGCCTCTATTGCCGGAGCTCCGTTTGACGCCAACCCTGCTTCAAATGCCGCGCCGCCTAATGCTAACGCTACCTCAACCGCTGCGTCAATCGCCGGTGCCCCACTAACCGCCAACGCTGATTCATATGCCGCACCGCCTTAAGCTCTTGCTACCTCAACCGCCGGCGCCTCGCTCACCAACAACATTGCAATGCCGCCCCGTGTCATAGCGTCTACCGCCATTGCTGTATCTAACGCAGCACCATTTGTCGCTTCAACCACTACTGCCGGAGCCGTTGCCGCTCCAACTTTCGCAGCAATTTACGGAGCAGCGACCCATGACGCGCGTTCGTACACTGGTGCAGGTGTTAGTACCTCACGAGTTTCTGGCTTTAATACTGTCGCTGCCAATTCTGCCGGAGGCTGCTCCTATGGTCATGCCCTATCTGCCAACGCCGCCATCGTTCAGCGGTCATCAATGAACAGCGCACCGCTCTCTTCAATTTCAGCTACGCCGTCTTTACATAGCAACGAAAGTAACACACTGCCACCACCATATGTGAACCATTGCATGAGCACACCAGCTGGGGTAATATTGCCTAGGAAACTCAAAGACTTTCCGGAGTTCAGTGGCCTAGCTGAGGATTGGCCATTGTTCATCAACGCTTTTGCGCAGTCTACGTCAGCATATGGGTACACATACTTGGAGAACAATCAACGTCTCCAAAAATGTTTGAAGGGTGAAGCTAGGGAGACGGTGAAGTCGCTGTTGATATATCCGGACCATGTCGACACTGTCATCGAACAGCTCCGTTTTCGTTTCGGTCGTCCAGAGCAGCTCATTCAAAGTCAGCTATCTGTAGTGAAAGACATTACCCCTATATCGGAGAGTGGAGTTGAAAGATTGATACCATTTGCTACTAAGGTAAAAAATTTGTCAGCATTTTTGCAGTCTGCCGGTGGTCACCAGCATTTAGCCAACCCAACTCTGATCTCCGAACTAATCAACAAGTTGCCAATGTCGAAAAGGATTGAATGGGCGCGCTACTCTTCAGCAATACAACCGTATCCCACCGTAGTACATTTTAGCGAGTGGTTAAGTGAAACCGCCAACTTAATATGCAGAGTTCAAGAACAGGAACTTCGAGAAACAGCGCCGTGTAGTCCTATATGCTTCTGAAGAGCAGCAGTCAAGTTCATCCAAATGTGTCATGTGCCAAGCCGGTCACAGGCTTCAAGAATGCAGACGGTTCATAACCGCTAGTGTCGCTGATAGGTGGAAGCTGGTAAAAGGTCAACGATTGTGCTTCGCATGCTTGAACAGAGGCCATTCATCACGAGACTGGCGACGTCGCAAAGTGTGTCCAGCCTACGGATGCAAGAGGACCCACCATAAGCTACTGCACTATCCCGTGACCACGCATTGTCCTGCGGAGAAGTTGCCAACAGAAGCGCCAGATCTTCGTACCACAAACTCAGCCTCGGTATTGAGCTGCATCGCTAATGCCAAGACTAGTAAGCTTCTGTTCCGTATTTTGCCGGTAACTCTGCACAATGGGACGAAAAATATCGATACTTACGCTCTATTTGATGAGGGTTCTTCCGTGACCATGGTGGATAGCTCTATAGTTGAGGAGCTGGGCTTAAAAGGAGAAGAGCGAAACTTGAACGTGCAGTGGTTTGGTGGTCACAAGGCACAAGAGCCTGCTACAGTGGTGAACATATTGATCAGTAGGTTCGGCATGAAGAAGAAGCACACGCTGCGAAACGTTTTCAGCGTATGCAATCTGCACTTGCCGTGTCAGAGTCTGAGAGAAACTGATATTCGCCAATGTACTGGTCATCAACGACGCCTGCCGCTGCTACCGTACAATGGGGCTACACCAAAGCTGCTCATAGGACTTGATCACTGCCGTTTGGGTATTCCGAGTGAAACCATGAGCATCAACGTCAACGGACCGTATGCTGCACACACGGAGTTGGGCTTCAGCAGCAGCGTCTCCGAAGTCAGGAACAAGTCTTTTCGTAGGACATACGCTTGAACACATGCTTGATGTCATGGTTGCTGACTACTTGGATACCGAGAGTTTTGGAGGTCATCACCGCCGATTGAGGGCACCGCTGACGTGCGAGCACGTTCATTGCTAGCTTCAACAACCCGTCGCCTAAAAGAGTGTTACGAAACAGGCTTGCTTTGGAAGCGAGACGACGTTCACTTGTCTGAAAGCTACACATCGGCATACAAACGTTTGATAGGCATCGAGAGATGTATGCAAAAAGATCCAGTATTTGCCAAAGCGTACAAGGACATCGTAAACTCTTACGTTGACAAGGACTACGCCCGTAAGCTTTCACCCAGCGAAGCCGCTCAGAAACATCCGAAGACCTGGTACTTGCCTCATTTCGGAGTAACCAATCCCAACAAGCTTGGAAAGCTCCGGCTTGTGTTTGACGCTGCTGCTGTGTCACACGGAGTTTCGCTCAACTCCCATCTACTAAAAGGCCCTCAAGAATACCAATCTCTTCCATCAGTGTTATTTCATTTCCGCGAGGGAGCGGTAGCAGTGTGCGGTGATATAAAGGAAATGTTTCACCAGGTACGCATACGTGAAGAGGACCGTTGTGCACAGCGCTTCTTGTGGCGTGACGGAGACACATCAAAGCAACCAGACATTTTTGAAATGACAGTGATGACGTTCGGAGCGGCGTGTTCGCCTTGCGCAGCACAGTATGTAAAGTCTGTGAATGCTTTAGAATACCAAGGTCAGTTTCCACGGGCAGTCAAGTCGATCCTTGAGCGGCACTACGTCGATGATTTTGTTGATAGCTTTGACGACGTGGCAGAGGCAATCGACGTGGCACAGAAAGTACGCGACATTCATAAGCTTGCAGGCTTCGAGCTACGAAACTTTATTTCGAACTCTCGTGAGGTGCTTGCGGCACTGGATGGCATGGAGGCGACTTTGTCTATCATCAGCAAAGAAGGTCTTGTCACAGAGAAAGTTCTTGGCATGTTTTGGCAGCCGTCGATCGTCTGTTTTAAATTCAGGCTGCGGTTTCACAACGTCGATAACGCTATCATTACTGGTGAACGACGACCGACGAAACGCGAGCTGCTCAGTATTATAATGTCGATATTTGACCCTCTCGGCTTCCTCAATAACATCACTATTTGCCGCCAAGTTACTAATGCGTGAGCTGTGGAGGAGAAAGACAAAATGGGACGAGCCATTATCCGACGACCTAAACGATGCTTGGCGTTCGTGGCGGCAACAACTTTCCACTGTGACAAACTTTGAAATCCCGAGATTCTATTTTCGGGGCGGAGTTCCGGAAGCCGTTCAACTGCACGTTTTCGTCGACGCCAGCGAACAGGCGTTCGCAGCAGCAGCTTACTGGAGGTCGACTGCCTCAACTGGTGAAGTAAGCATCTCTTTCGTATGCTCAAAATCACGCTGTGCTCCACTGAAGCCGCTCACTATTCCGCGCCTCGAGCTACAGGCCGCAGTCCTAGGTACGAGGTTGATGCAGACCGTTCGTGAGCAGCACGTAGTATCCATATCCGATTGTGTCCTCTGGTCGAATTCAAAAAAAACTGTCCTTAAATGGATAGGCAGCGAAAATAGGCGGTACAAGCCATTTGTCGCCCATAGAGTGGCGGAAATACTAGCCACCACAACGCTATCCAATTGGAGATGGATACCAACGGCTCATAACGTTGCCGACGAAGCTACCCGAGCGAGACGTGTCAATACTGAGTTCGAGTCCTATTGGTTGAGCGGCCCACAATTCTTGCAGATGGATAAAGAGCATTGGCCACAGGAGCGTGAAGTCCAAGAACGCGATGCAGCTGACGACGAAGAACTTCAGCCGAGATACACCTTGGCAGTTGTAAGCTATGAATTTAAATTATAATCGTTTCTCATCTCTTAGCAGAATAGTACGAACTCTGGCATGGGTGACTCGCTTCGTGAGTCGATGCTGCAATGGCAAGCAGTCCGATGAAACGCATGGGTTAACAGCATGGGAGTTGGAAACAGCCAAGCATGCCTTGTATCGTCAAGTCCAAACAGATGCATTCATCGCCGAGCTCCGCCTGCTCGAAAAAGGTGACACCATCCGTCGATCCAGCGCAATCCACCAGCTCTCACCCTACATAGATGATCACCGTATTTTGCGCGTAAAGGGACGTATCGATGCAGCTGAATGTCTGCCCGTTTCTACCAGACGGCCGGTCATATTACCACCAAACCACCCCTTTACGAAACTTGTTGTGAGTCATCATCACGCCGCCATGAAACATCAAAACACGGAAGCCACAATCTGCAAAATTCGTCGTCACTACTGGATACCCCGCTTGCGTAAGCTACTGCGGTCCGTAATAAGCAATTGTCAGGTCTGTCGAGTGTCCAAAGCAACGCCAGTCGCACCGATTATGGGACCACTGCCAGCCGACCGTTTAACGCCTTACGTAAGACCGTTCACATACACCGGTCTCGATTATTTCGGTCCAATCAACGTGACAATCGGTCGCAGACAAGAGAAACGGTGGGTGGCGCTGTTTACATGCCTCACTATTAGGACAATACACTTGGAACTGGCACACGACCTAAGCACAGACGCATGCATCATAGCCATTCGGAACTTTACAAATCGCCGCGGGGTTCCGGTAAGAATGAGGTCGGATAATGGCAAACATTTTGTGGGAGCCAACCAGGAAGCAAAGCGGTTTAGCGAAGTCTTCGACTACGAGCGCTTGCAGAGCGAGATGTCTAGCAAGGGCGTGGAGTGGTGGTTCAACTGCCCGATAAACCCATCCGAAGGCGGAGTGTGGGAACTGATGGTGCAGTGTGTGAAGCGGGTGCTATTCCAAACGCTAAAGGAAGTGGCGCCGGGGGAACACACGGTGGTATGCTTTCTAATTGAAGCGGAGAATGTTATAAACTCCCGGCCCCTCACACATCTGCCAATATCGCCTGACCAAGAGGAGCCATTTACGGCAAACCACTTCCTGCTAGGCTCAACCAACACTGCTCAAACACCAGACAGCTCCGTTGAACCGGAAAGGTTATGTGCCTTGCGTAAGCAGTGGCGAATTGCTCGTAAGTTGCGAGACCACTTCTGGAGGAGGTGGATTGCGGAGTACCTCCCAACTTTAACCCGTCGGGCGAAATGGTGCGAGACCACAAGATCTCTGAAGATCGGCGACGTAGTGTTCATTTGCGATAGTGCTTTACCGCGAAACCAATGGCGCCGAGGCATCGTGGAACGAGTCTATCCAGGAGTAGACGGTGTCGTTAGACAAGTGGATGTGCGTACCTCCAAAGGAACATTGCGGCGAGCTGCGTCCAAGCTAGCTTTGCTTGACGTAGAAGTTGGTGAATCGGGCTGATTCACGGGGGCGGGGGTGTGGCAGCACGGCCGCAGGCAACACTGTCAAGTACTCGTTATTTATGTAATTTCCATTGTGAACCTTTTTTGTCATACAACTTGTAAATCGTGGTCGTTTCGTTCAATCGCTGCAAATAAGCCGGACGAGACGCAACCGCGGTAAGAAGCCATATTTCTAAACTTTTAAATCTTGGCACATGTGCATATATGTACATCTATCTTCTTTTATATTGTAATTCTGTTACTTGTTTTTAGAAATAAACACGCGCTAATTACAGGAACCATAAACGAAACTGTGTTATTCAATTTCGAGTCATCGTCCGAGCCTTCAGCGTTTACAGGTGATAATAACCTAACCAAAGGCTTGTGAAATGGACCATTTAAAAAAGAACCAATTTTAAAAGGACCAATGAACCAAACGAAAAGAATTGGACCAAATTTGGCCATTTGGACCAAAACGGCAACCGTGGCGGCAACTCTCTACACCCAGAAAAAGGTTTAGTTATAATAACCAAGATTTGGTTATA